GTAACGGCATGTCATGTCAGATTGTGAAGCTCCCTGGACTTTCCCTTTACCTTCTTTGTGGGAGGCCATCACTGGCTCTTCCTGGTGAAAATATTTTGGCCATATTAATAGTCTTGGGGCTGGGGATTTAGTTCAGCAGCACAGTGCCTGCCTGGCAAGCGCAAGGTCATGAGTTTGATTCCCAGTACCTGAAAAACAAAACAAAACAAAAAAACAATAATAGTCTTGCTGATCTTATTGTTTGACCCATATGTGTTTAACTGATTCTTTGTCTTTATCTCCTTCATACTTAAAGCTATTTGCCTACCCAAGGTGAAAATAGTTGATGTCTACTAAAGGCTTCTAGATTAGATCCTCTAGAGTATATATCCAACCAAAACTCTGACCACTTCCAGTTGGAAGTAGCCAGAGGGATCATTGCACTTTGCCCCTTCACACAGTTAGGGGCACCTGCTCAGAGGGAAAAAAATTCTTTTTTTGGTACTGGAAATTGAACTCAGGACCTCACACTTGCAAGGCAGATGTTGTGCAACTGAGCTATATCCCCCACATGGAAAAAATTTTATAGGTTGGGTATCTAGATAAAATAATGAAATTAACTGCTTCCACTATACCACTGATGTAACCAATCTTCTCTTATTGGCTGTTCAACAACTGAGAGTTGGGAGACCAAAACAAAAAGATCATGAGCTAAGAAGCTGGCCAATATTTTGGCCCTGGCCCTCCAAGGTCTACAAAGACCCAGGACATATGGGTCCTTTCTTTCTTTTTTTTTTTTTTTTTGGTTTTTCTTTGGTACCGGGAACCGAACTCACGACCTTGCGCTTGCCAGGCAGGCACTTTGCTGCTGAGCTAAATCCCCAGCCTCATATGGGTCCTTTCTACAGGAGTCTACAACTTTGAGTCACCCAACCTCCCAAGCAAGGAGATTGTTGGACTTCCAGAAGGCAGTAGTCACCAGCATGTATCATGCTAGAAGAAGGGTCACTAAAGGGAAAAATGTTCCCATGCTTCCAAAGGGTGCCATGTGGTCTACCACAAACTGTGGCCTGTCTAAGTAGATGACACATCTCACAGGAAGAACTAAACTAAAAGGCTCTGATGATGGCTCCTGAAGGAATGCCTGAGGAAACTTCACTGACCTTGATGTATCAGAAAGTAAATTATGCTTGACAAAGGTCTCACCTTAACTTTGTCTTGAACACCCCGCAACAAAAGGACGTGGCCTGATATATATGAATAATAATGATATAGTCTAGACATATAGAAGGGGTCTTTGCTCAGTGACCCCTGCTGACAGTTCTGAGGGTGAGCTGGTTACCATTGCTATTCCAACCTGCCTTTCCATTCTATTGCTCATGTTTTGGTCATGTGCATTAATCTCTTGGTAAAGCTTGTTTTTTCTTGCCTAGAGGCTGCCAAACCAAATGGTCACACAGACAAAACCCACTGTAAAGGTGCCAGACTTGTGCCGAAGCCCATTAGGCGAACGTTTCTGCTAAAGATTTCCATCTGCTGTTCCCCAACTACAACCCCATTTAGCTCAAAGAAGTCAGATGAGTCATCACCCTCTTCTCCAACAGCAGTTGGATGGTTGTCTCAGAGGAAAGAATGTAGGGACGGGGGCACTGTAGGTAGGAAAAGGATAGGATGAAGACGGCCTCACTGAGCTTTATTAAAAATTAATAAGGCAGTTTTGACCTCTGCAGCCAGACTCCAGCAATTAGAAGGGCAAAGGCAGCTGGACCCTGAGGAATTAAAAGACAAAGGCAGCTAAACTCAAGCAATTAGGAAGACAAAGGTGAAGAACTCAGAACTAGAAAGGTCCCTAAAAATGGCACTTTCCTTTTATCTAATCCTTAAACCTAAATTAACTGTCCTAAGGCCCCAGCTCATAATCTTACCTGCCATGAGGACAGGGACAAGGTCACCTGGTCAGAAGAAAGCCAAGGTTGGGATGAAAGACAGGCCAGGGAGCCAATTAGATTCCAGGATCTCAAGGAGCTGTAGGCGAAATCCAGGAGCATTTCACTTTCCAAATCTCCCTACACTTCCGGGTAGCTGCCTGTCACCTCTCTCTTCCTCCTTCCCCTTCTTCAAATAAACTGTCTTCTTTTATTTTAAACTGCTTCTTTAGTTCTTTACCAACTGGGTTTAAGGGTCGCAGGAACTGCCTTCCAGCAGAGTGGCGGCGGGGCGTGTCAGAGCAGCGGCTCACTGTCCACCCCTGGACGTCACAGTGCGGCATAGCGCGCCATAGTGTCCAAGTTTCCCCGGACAGGACATTAACTGTGGCGTTGAGCCGGAAGCGGTACTTGTCTCTCTATTTCTTTTTTGGACTGAGTTTTAGGATCCCGTGGGCTACTGAGACAGCAGAGGAGTGGCACTTGCTCACCAGATGTGACACCTATGGGGACTCAAAGCTGGCAAAAAAAGACTTTTTTTTTTTGTCTTTTTGAGATGGAGTCTCACTATGCAGTTCAGTATGGGATTGAACTCACTTGGTGACATCCAGGTTCATGCAGTAGTTTGGTCACTTTGTTTCAAGATTGTCAGAGAAGCAATGAATTTCAAAGTGTGGAAGTGGAGGCCAGGTACACTAAAGATTTGTTTCTGCAGCATGAGGAGCGATGGCCCAGCAGATTTTTTCCAAGGGGTGCACTCTGCCCAGTGTAAGCTGCATTCTAAGTGGGCACCACGTCTGTGCAGTGCTGTGGCTGCCCATGCTTGCCAGCACGGCTGCTGGCTGGTTCGTAGAGCTTGGAACAGTGCTCCTTTAAGCTATCCACTAGCTGTTCCGAAGCATCGTTGGGTTTTGCACCCAAGAAGTAAGTGGCTATCATTTCCAAAAGCAGGAGATCATGTGTGGAGGCTGTGAAGTAGACGTATGGAACTCACCACCTCTTCAGAGCAGCATGAGCCAATCAGGACCTCGCTGTAGTGAAAAGGATTCTTTTACTGAGCCCTCAGCTCCTTTAGCAGAAGCCAAGGAATCCTGAATTACAGGGCTGCCACACAGCCTTCCCTTTATCCTTTCCACAACCTCAGGCCAGAAGGGGAGAAAAAAATCTTTTGTTCTCATTTTCACAAGTTACCACATGGTTTGGAACCTTTAGGGCTCTTTTTGAAAGTTCACTGGTTTGTGCCAGAAAAGTCTGCTTAAACACACACATTTGAAGATAGTTTGAGGGTGTTAATTCCCATTTATTGCAGAAGGAAAAAGAACGATATTTCATGTATGGAGGAAATATATAACAAAGAGATTGCCAATTTCTGAAACAAATGGTTAGGAACCTGAGATCCAAAGCTCTAAGTGAGTTAACAAATGTTGATTATCTTTACATAAGGGTCTTTGAGGCAGTGGGAGGAGCTCAGGGGTACAGCACTTGTCTAGCACCGGCAAAGCCCTAGGCTTCATTCCTAGCAACACAAAAACACACACACACACCTCTTATGCCTTCACATTTTGACCTCAAAACCCAAACTCAAGGAAAGATTCAAGAGTTGAATAGTAAAACTAGATAAACACACAGGCAATGAAAAAACAAAGCACCCTAGGTTTGGGTTTATAAGAAAGTGTTTTAGGCAATCTGCTGGCTCAGGGTTCACAGTGCGCTGAAAACCCCTGTACATTTTTTTGAACAGAAAGAACACTAGGAATGGGTTTGCGAACACAGGTAAGGACAGGAGAACGTTTCGAGGAGGCAGGAAGCCAAGAGCTAGCCCACTTGGAATGGGGGTGGGGGAGGTCAGGGACTGGAAGTGCCTGGTTAGTAAATGCCCTAAAGCTAAAGTCCAGCTCAGAGGCTGAAGATTCCTCTGAGGGAAGTTCTGGTCGCCTGCGGTGTTTAAAATGGGACAGATATGCCAGGCGAGGTGGCGCACGCCTGTAATCTCAGCACTAGGGAGGCTGAGGCAGGAAGATAGCTGCGAGTTCAAGGTCAGCGTGAACTGCATAGCGAGACCTTGCCTCAAAAAGCCGAACAAAACAAAACACCATACACACACACACACACACACACACACACACACACACATACACAAAACACTAAACAAACAAAAACCCCAAAATATCGAACCAAAACAAAAAACCTGGACATCCACATGCACTGGATTCCCTCTCTGTCCTTTCCTGTTTCTGTTCTTTAAAAACCGAACCGGATTCGACAGCCAGGGCATTCTCCGCCGCGGGCGACACAGACACGCACTTATTATTGGCCCCGAAGTCGTCCTTAGGGGGTGGAGCTCAGGGAAGTTGGAGGCAGCAGAACCAGGTAGGATGGGATTTAGCAGCGGGCTTATTCGGGCGTTTGTGAAGGACCAAAGCTCCCGGGGTGCCCGAATGGTGGGAGGCTCCGCCGTGAGTCCGAGTTCGCCCCCGGCGGTCGGGGATCCCGGCCGGGCACGCGCCAGCGTCCCCTCACCAGATGGCCAGTGTTTACAAGCTTCGTCCTGCTGTTGCGCGCCAGAAACGGAATATTAATAACTGATGCTACGACACTACATCTCGGGAGGGCTGGGAAATAAATGTGCGTTAAAGGGTCTCAGAAAGAACTAGCGTCCGTGGCAGATAGGTCTGCAGGACCTGCAGCTCCGGGTCCCGAGGGTCGATTCCCAGGTGGGGACCGGGAGTCGGGACCCCCTCCCGGCTCTGCTCCCCGGCGGCCAGCAGATGGCTCCCGGGCGCTCTCCAGCGCAGGGCTCCTGCGGCTCCGCAGGCGGAGGGGGCGCGGAAGGTGCCCGCCGCCGCCCCGCACTGCGCGCGTCCCCGCGTGCGCCCCAGGCCAGGGACCTGCGCCGGCCAGGGTGGGGACCCGCGGGTACCAGGGAGGCCGGAGGCTGGGTCGGCTCTCGCGAGGTGAGGCGGAGACGCAGGAGAAGCAGGGGCCGAGCCGGAGGAGGAGCTGGAGGAGGAGGAGGAGCTGGAGGAGGAGGGGAAGGAGCAGGGCAGGCCCGCGCCCCCGCCCGGCCCGCCTCCCGCGCCTTCCGCCTCCACCTAGGCCGTAGGTGCGGCGCGCAAGGGGTGCACCCAGCGCGGCGACCGCGGACCCGTGCCCCGCGCTGTCGCCGGGAGCTGGAGGAGGCGACATGTAGCAGCGGCAGCCGCAAACCCACCTAGTCTTAGCAACTCTTTTTTTTTTTTTTTGGCGCGGCGGGGGGCGCGGCAACATCGAATCTCCACCCCCCTTCTCTGGCCCACTCCTTCGCAAGGGGCTCGGGAAGGGCGGGAGCCGTAAGTCGGAGTTGGCCCTGTGACACCCCCGCACCGAGGGGCACCATGACCGAGGAGAGCGCCGACGTCCCCAGGGAGCTGCTAGGTGAGACTGGCGCCGCGGTTCGCGTCCCTCCCTCCCGCCGCGGGTCCCTGGGTCCCCGCGCCCGGTCGCGGGAGGGGGCGCCGGGAAGTTCGCGCGCATCTGATGCCCGCAGAGCCGAGTCGCGAGAGGGGAGGCGCGGGCGGTGTGGGGAGCTCCCGCGGGTCCGGGGTGGCGCAGGCTGGACGCGGGCCGCCTCGGTCCGGGTAGTTCTGAGAGCCGGGGGACCCCTTCCAGCGCTCACCGCTGCTGCCCGAAACTCCGGCGGGCAGCGGGACAACCGGCGACAGCTCGGGAGGTCGTCCGGGGCCCGCGGCGTGCTTCCCCCAGGAGCGCCCCGCGGAGGTGCGGGTCTCGGCGCTCACTGGGGGCCGGGGCGCAGGTCCGGGACCGTGACTGCCTGGTAAGGCGTGGCTTGGTGCAGGAGCTGGGAGCGAAAGGGTTACCGGGCTGACGCAAACTCCGACCGGGAAACTGGGGGTTAATGATAAAAGCCTTATTTTAATAATGATTAACCTACCGACCCCTACCGCTTAGGGAACCGGCGTGTGACACCCATGCAAGGTGACCCATTGTCTGAGGCCCTTGAGGTTTAGCTCCTGGGGAGGGGGCGGGGAGCTAGTTTTTAAGTCTTAGGGTTTAACTTAATTATCTAGAGGGTTACAAGGCTGAGTTAAAATAGGTTGGGACAGAATTCTGAAAACCCACGTTGAAGCTTGGGTGTGTGTATGTGTGTCCCCGGTTGTGCTGTGGGTGTGCCGTGTACCGTTCTCAGCCCCAGTGACCCGTATTCCCGCTGGGCCATTTTTGGCCCGCGCACACCTGGCGCTCAGAAGGGTGTCCACCAGCGGAAGTTCGAAGCGCCCCTTCATCCTGTCGTGGAATGTGGCCCTAGGTTGCTTTTAGCGACGATACTGAGGAGGAATTTGTGTGTGCCCTCTCAGAAGTACCTGCTAACTCTGAAGGTGAAACTTGATGGGAAGAAGCTGTTGCTAGTTTGTATGGAGGTCTCTGCTTTTGTTGAATTAAAAAGAGGGGAGGAAAAGCCTTCAAACAGTCTCAACAGAGCGCGGAACGTGGGTGTATTTCTGCACCGGGCAGTCCTGTTCCTGGTCTCAGATCCCTCAGCCCTGTGCAGTGGGTCTTTGAGATAAAGCATCAGTCCTGGAAAGCGGCCCATCCTGTTTGGGGAGGCCCAGACTTTTCCCATCGGACACCCGGAAGAGAGCATGGAGGCTGAGATTTCAAGGTGGCCTGGACTGCCAGAGTGCAGAGCTTTAATTTCTGTGTCCTCCTTGAGCCTGCTCCTGACAAGCTGAGGTGATTACTGTCCTTAGCTGCAGGAGAAGGGGTGACAATGCGTGGAAATAAGGTACCTGCTTTATAATTGATGGCTCTCAAAGATAGACATGTTGGTGTATTTCAAAAGTTCACTTTGACCCATAACTTGAAGTGGAATTTTTGAGTTTGTATTAGGTGTTGCCTATCCTTTCCCTCCAACAAGTGACATGTTTTATGAGAGGCCTGGTAAGAATTTTTTCTAGACCTGTATGGATCTGGTTAGGCTTGGGGTGAGGGGAGAATGGTGACACCTGTTCTTCTCTCTAATTTCTGCCGCTCAGGAGGATTCCATCCTGGTCAGTTCAAAATGGTGGCCTCGGGAAGACCTTAGCCTGTACATTCCCTCCTGAGAATCTCCCAAGGCATTTCAGCAGTGTCCTGTGTCACTTTCTGAATGTGAAGTGAATATAGACTCTGCAGAAAAAGTTCAAATGCTGAGAATAAGAAGAGTGGGTGGAACCCGTAATACCACTCAGCGATAGTGACTTAATCTTTGGGTTTATGACTTCCCAATCTCTTTCCTGTTTATGAGCACACATGCACTTTTATTTATTTACTTTTCCTTGGTTCAGACCCTTGTGGAGCTCAGCATCACAGAGATTCTGTATTCGGTGGCCTTAGCAGGAAGGTTGCTTTGGAGTTTGGGCCAAACCAGGCCTCTGTTTCCATGGGCACCAGTAGCTGCTCCCCACATTACCCTGATTTTGTTGTTTTGGCATCAAGAGTCGCTGTGCTGCTTTTTTTGCTTTGTACGCATTAAGCACATCTCTTGCCCAAGTAGAATTCTGTCTTGTCTCAGGCACACATAATTTTTAAAAGAGCTGCGTGTACCCTTTGGTTCCCAAGTCCCCACTTACACCCCAGCAAAAATGGCCTTGTGACCAGGATACAGCTGCCCTTTAGTATTCCTGTCCCCAGCAGGCTCCATGAGCATCAAGGTGATCAAAGAGCTGTGCCCGTGTACTCAGGCCAGTTCAGGGGCCCGTTTCCCACAGTCCTTTCTTAGGAGGTGAGGGAGCAGACGGTGCTTGTCTGCAGGTCTGGTGAGATGGTGGCCGCCCTGCGAACTCCGGGTGCTGAGACCCCCCACCACTTGCACCCTTGCCCCAAACCTTCCCCCTGGGGCTGCTCCTGGAAGAAGCTGAGCTTTCTCCTAGTTTCATGCCTGTGTCTGTGCTGAGTGTCCTTTCCTCCCTTTCCTTACCCTTACCCATTCAGTGCCACTTGACTTTCATACAGATGTTCATAGCCCCAATGAGTAAACTTTGTCACCCCTCGGTAAACATGTAATGAGTTGTTAGATTGCATGGCATGCTTTAGCAATCTGAAACATCAACTGAAATGCACATTCCAAATGGAATAATTCTGTTTTTCTCCTGGGTCTGAATGGATTGTATTCTACACTCCACTTTGAAAGCAATAATCTGTTTTCTACACCTTCAGTTTTCAGTTCAGGGGTCCCCTCCCTGAAACCTTATGTGTTTCCTAATCCATGATCCTGTGTCCTGTGACAGATTCATTCAGTGGCACCCTGTGGTGGATTAACTGATGGTCAACTTGTAACACCCAGCTGAACTGAATCAGCGTGGTGCTGGGTGTGGAAAGTCCATCTGGAGATTGTTGCCAACAGCATAAAGTTCTCATTGTCAGAGAAGCTCAGGTCCGCACTATTGCTGAAGATGGCTGTGGTTCTTTCCTGGGGAGCTCTAGTCCTTACCTTGAACTTCACTTTCTGGCTCCAGTGCAGATCCGTCAGCCCGCTGGCGCAGACTTTCTAGCTTCTACCACTGACCTTTGGGCCTTCCCAGAGCAGGTCCTGGATACAGACTTGCGTGAGACATTGTCATGGGCTCTAGGCCTCCAGTTGGTCTTGTGTAGAATATCGTCATGGGCTCTAGGTCTTCAGCTGGATTTGTGCAGGACATTGCTGTGGGATCCAGGCCCTCACCTGATTCTTTGGGTCTCTAGTGTGTGGACAGATCTCCTGCAGTCTTTTGCATTTGACTCTTTGGGTGAATATTATAAAATAATCCTGTAGCCTGTAATCCCAGCACTTGGGAGGCTGAGGGAGGAGGATTGCTGTGAGTTTGAGGCCAGCCTGGGCTACAAAGTGAGCTCGAGGCCAGCCTGAACTGCATAGTGAGACCTTGTCCCAAAAAGACAAAAAAATTCCTATAAATTATGCATCCTGTATTAAGTCTTTTCCCTTGTAGACCCTGACTACAAGGTTGTTGTAGACAACACACTCATTCTTCTGCATGACGTCTGCTAGGCTCTTGACTCCGGGAAGAGCAGGGACCATCTCTGTGCAGCATTCATAGAAAGCCTGCCACTTGGGAGGTGCTTCTGTGCGCATGGATTTGTTGAACATATGGATAGGCCAAAATGATTACGATGCAGAACACAGAGCTATGGGGGCTTAGAAGAGGGAGCTGTATTCTTGAAGGAAAAGTCAACTAATAAGGAGAACAGGGCAAAGGCATCCCAGAAAAGAGAATAATATATACAAAATTTGGGGGCAGGAGAGATGGAGTGTCTGGGATGACTTGGTCTGTAGCCATGTACTGAGAAGTTAGGCTGAAAAATGTGACTTTGAATAGCGTGCGATGAGGTTTGTGTTCACCCTGAAAGGACCGAGGCCGAGGCCAGGGGTGGCACGCATGGGAGACTTGGGGGTTTAAAGTGCCACTGTGGCTGGAAGGCACCGCGGACTGAGTCCTGGTGAGAGATATTCTGAGGCCCCTCAAGGTGGAGACTCCTGCCCAGAGGCCAGCGGCTGTTTCTAGGGTGGATTTTGGACACTTGGTGACTAACTTGCTTCTTGAGAGACAGGAGCTGGAGATGAGTGAAGTCTGTAGCTGCACTGGCGGCCAGAGGAGGTGGTGATCAGCTTGATGTGGGGTGCACTGAGACCCGTGTGCTTGTTGGGGTCGAGGGACACTGCCAACCGTCACCCATGTTTTCTTACAAGTCTGCCTTCTCCCGAGCCCTCCTTTGCCATTGGCTTGGTCTCTCTTTGGTGTGCTGTGCTGTGATCATTTTGGAGGGGCAGAAGGCTGGGAGTGGCCTTCTCTGGCTAAATCATTTGGTCCAGTTCTTGTTCTTTGCTGTGTTCTCTAACCTTCATGACACTCACTTGTAGGAAGTGATATTTGTGTGGCATTGTGGTGAACGCGTTGTGGTGAATGTGGAGCCCAGAAGTTAGTGGAGAGAGAATTAACAAATTCCTATTGTGCTTATGGCCTGGGTACAGTATAGTGTCCATCACACCACCCGATGTTGCATTTTTAGCTTATTACCTTGTGTTCCCCAGGCACGATTATGCCATGCTTTGCATAGGCTGGTGTTGTGTCAGGTGTTCTTCTCCTTGCTACAGCATCTGAGCACACAGTGTGAGGCACAAAGTAGTTGTTGATTAAATTCCAGTGGCTGAGCACTATCAGCTTGTTAAAGCAAGCAAATAAAGGAAAGACCAGAAAAACAATGAGAGAAACTTCCCTTAGTTAAGGAGAAATCCTCCTTAATACTTTTTATCTTGTTAATCAAAACATAATGAAACTTTTTCCTTTTTTCAGAAAGCATAAAGGATGTTATTGGCAGGAAGATAAAGATTGCAGTGAAGAAGAAAGTGAAGTTGGAAGTTAAGGGAGACAAAGTTGAAAACAAAGTGCTGGTAAGTGTTATTTATTTTGTTAAAATATTGGGGGCCAGCCAGGTGTGGTGGTGCACGCCTGTCAACCCAGCACTCCGGAGGCTGAGGCAGGAGGATTGTTGCGAGTTTGAAACCGGCCTGGGGTACAAAGTGAGCTCAAGACCAGCCTGAGCTACATAGTGAGACCCTGTCTCAAAAAGACCAAAAAAAAAGGGGGTAAAAGTGTATTTTCCTCCATTGTTTTGGTTGTGTGATTTCCATGCAGAATTACTTCTCCTATTTTTGTTGTTGCTATTGTTTTTGAAACGAGGTCTTACTGTGTAGCCTAGGCTGGCTTGAACTGCCAGTGAAGCTCCTGCCTCAGCTGGGATTACAGGTGTTCATATTGACATCTGACTTCTGGCATTTTGCCCCAAAAGTCCTGATGATCATTTTGTTTTTTCCTTAACTGAAATCTTTTTCGTTGAAAGTTAAAACTAGGATCATTAAAAAAAATTTTTTTTTTGAAACAGGGTCTCACTATGCAGTTCATGCTGGCCCTGAGCTCACTTTGTAGCCCAAGCAGACCTCGAACTCATAGTGATCCTCTTGCCTCAGCCTCCTGAGTGCTAGGATTACAGGCATACGCCACCACGCCTGACTGGGGATCATTTAAATTTTAAAAATCAAAGTTTTCCAATTTTATTTCTGCAAGTTGTGGCAAATGTGTACATTCAGATGATCTCTCTTGTTTGTGGTTTTTTTTTTTTTTTTTTTGCATTGGAGATTGAACCCAGAGGTGTGCTACCAAGGACCTACATTCCCCTGACTTCTTTATTTTGAGACAGTCTCCCTGAGTTGTCCGGGCTAGCCTCAAATTTGAAATGCTCTTGCCTCAGCTTCGGCCAAGCTGAAGTTACAAGAATGTGTCATAGGGCCTGGCTCAGATAATCTCTTAGAGCCTGTGTTCACATTGTTTGAAGTTGGATGTTAAGTGAACTTTATTATCTTTGATGTTATGGCTGATCATGTGACTTTCTTAACAAGATCTTATGGAAGAGCTTAAAGAATTCATATCATGTCGGTTTGTTTATTTTTTTCATGTTGGTTTGTTTAATTAAATTTCTCAGATGTTACATTGAAGTCTATTTCAGGGACAGTGACTGAGGAATATGAACAAAACTATTTATTGTCATTGGGTTTTGGTGTTTCGGAGGAAATGCCAACCGGAGGAAGTGTGTGCTGGTGTTGCCTTTTGGACTTGGGGGTCCCTCCAGTGCAGGAGATGAATTGCTGAGCAGGGTGGCTAGCTTCGAAATTGAGATCCTTCTCCCATAGCCTCCTGAATAGCTGTTATTACAGATGTATGCCACCATGCCTGGATGATTTGTACCTTTGGAGAAGGTACACCTTTTGTGGTATTTCGGTAGCTTCTTGTTTGAGATTGTGGCATAAATTTAAACATAGGTAGGGGGAATATTCCACCTTTTTCATCATGGAAATTTTTAAACAAAATTTAAAGCAAATTCAAGCAAAAACAGAGATGAGTATATTGAATAATGTGTATTTGTCACCTGGCTTCAACAGTTTTCAGTGTTTCACTAATGCTGTTTCATCAATATTTCCTACAGTATTTCTTTCCCAGAGTATGTTCTTTGTTGTTGTTTGTTTTTGAGACAGGGTCCTACTATGTAGTGCAGGCTGGATTTGAACTCCCTCATGTAGCCTAGGCTGGCCTCAAACTCACTGTGATCCTTCTGCCTCAGTCTCCCGAGTGCTGGGATTACAGGCGTTCACCACAATGCCCGGCCTGAAATAAAATATTTTTAACATTCCATTTCTTTAGTTGAAGTTACTGCAGAATTTGGAGTGTCTTTCTGATACCTGTTTTGGGAATCTAATAAAATCTTTACCTCTGGAATATGGGACTGGCTGTTTTTGGAGATGCAAGCAAGGATTATGCTGTTGATAGATGGCTTTTCTTTCTCCGGTGTGTGTACAAGTCACAGTGGCAGAAGGCGTTGAACCGGGAGAGTGTGAGTAACTTTCCCCCTACAACAAAATGTGCTCAGGTAGACTTGTAATGAAGAGTATGGATGGCAGGAGTGATGGGCGCCATTGTTTTATGGAGCATTAGTGAAGAGTGAGTTTCCTTCTATGATGTTTTCCTTAAGCTTGGTCAACCCTAGGACTGTGTTATTTTTTGGAGATGGTAGTGTAGGCAAAAGGTGTATCACCGCTGGGTGCTGAGGTTCATGCCTGTAATCCCAGCTTTCTGGGAGACTGAGGCAGGAGGATTGCAGGTTCGAGCCCAGCCAGGGCAAGTTAGCAAGACCTGGTCTCAAAGAAAAAAAGGACTGGAGGTGTGGCTTAGTGCAAAGGCCTTGGGGTCCGTCCCCAGAACTTCAGCACAAACAAAAACCGCTGAGCTACACCGCCTGTCGCAAAGTGCATTTTTATCCATGTGGTACCTGTACAAGGTAGACCCACTTCTGTACAACTTAAATATTGAGCTGTGCTTGCCGCAGCAGTCTACCGAATGACACTTTGTATCATTTGGTGTGGATACTGTTTGTTACATAAGCAGGGGCCATGACTAAAGTTTTTAATGATAAAATATCAAAGATAGACTTGGGCTCAATATAACAAAAGAACCATTGCAAGAGTTATGGTTAGCACTTTTTTGTGGGGAGGGCTTATTATAACATTGCCTTGAACTGATTAAAGTTGTAAGCAAATTGAAAATGTATTTAAATTTAAGCATTTATCTCCCCAAACCTGGAGGCTCAGCAGCTTCTGGAAGCTCAGCCTGCACGGGTTATGGGCAGGACTTACTGGTAGGAATACTCCAGGCCCATCTTTCTCTGACAGGCTTCATGTTTAAGCAAGGAGAGCTAAGATACAACATCTGCAGCACTAGTTTTTGAGTTTGGAGAACATTTATTCAATTGCCAGTCTACTCTGATAGGTTATAAATGAGCACGTGTGCATTTGCCGTGGGTTTGGTTGTATTTTACCTCGGATCCTTTCCCTAGGGCCACCCTGGGCTCCTTTCTGTCTTTTTTGTTTGTTTCTTTTGGTTTTGGTACCGGGAATCGAACTCAGGACCTTGTACTTACCAGGCAGGTGCTGTGCCACTGAGCTATATCCCGGCTCTCCTTTCTGTCTTATAAAGGCACAAGTGTTCTGTGTTACCTAGTTCCCTTTTTTTATGCATTGAGACTTCGTTCTGTTTCCAGTCTGTCTTCTCGTGATCCTAATAGCCGAAAGTTTGCACACTGACCCAGTGCAGAACACCTTGCCGAGCACACGTTCACACGCGGCCTTCCTTCCTCAGTCCCCACAGCAGACTTTTGATATCTGTGTTGCACAGATGGGGAAGCTGAGACTTGAGAGGCTGACAGAGACTTGCTTGGGTCAGCCAGGCAGTTACCGAGGCACTGGGACTTGGGCCCGCACCTTCCACAGGCGGAGCCTGTCTTTTTTGCCACAGCTTTGGAAGTAACAGAAAACTCCCTTTGTCGGGTTATTCGGGTTATTCGCTGGTCACCAATTTCAGTGAAGAGGGAGCTTGGCCTTTAGAAGGATCTATTCCTGTCTTTGATTGGCCTGATTTGTACATTAGTTTGTTCCGTATTTATTGAGCAGGCGGCAGCTGCATGGTGCGGACAGGTGGATGCGAGGCACAGTTGGAGATGCACTCTGAGGGTTTGGGTGGGCTGCAGGAGTGTGGACGGGGTCCCCTGCCTCAGGCCTGAGGGGCAGGGAGGCTTCCAGAAGCTTCCTAAGCTGACATTCCCTGGGAGAGGAGGAGGAGATCGCTGAGGGAGAGTAGAGGCCCTTCTGAACAGAGGGGACAGAGGGGACATTAGGCCGAGGCCAGAGCTGGTTTAGTTTGGTAGAGACTGGGCCTCTCCCTTCCCCAGCCCTCCCCTCTCCTTTTTGTTCTTTCATTTCTTTTCTTTCTTTTTTTGAAGTACCAGGGACTGAAACCAGGGCCTTTAGCACTGAGCTACATCCCCAACCTTTTAAAAATTTTTCATTTGAGACAGGGTCTTGCTAATTTGCTAAGTTGCCCAGGGTGAGCTAGAACTTGAGATTCTCTTGCCTCAGCCTCCCAAGTAGCTGGAATTACAAGTATGTACCGCCACACCCAGCTTTCAACTGTTTCTGGTGATTTTTACATGTACTTTCTTTCTTTCTTTTTTTTTTTTGTCTTTTTGAGACGGGGTCTCACTGTGCAGTTCAGGCTGGCCTTGAGCTGCCTTTGTAGCCTAGGCTGGTCTCGAACTTGCAACGATCCTCCTGCCTTAGCCTCCCGAGTGCTGGGATTACAGGTGTGCGCCACCACGCCTGGCTTTACATGTATTCTTGCTCTAAGCAGAGGCCTCAGAGTTTGGAATCCCTCCTGGTTCTCCCAGTGGCTCAGCCGCTTTGTGACAGTGCTGACCCCTTCCTTTCTCCAGTGAAGCAGGCATCGTCACAACGCCTGTTTGTCCACCTTGCTTTGGAGCCTAGGTAGGATATATTTCAACACTGGTCAGCGCAATGCCTGGCACTTGGTCAACACCTCATTAATGGGAACACTGGAGGAGCTGGGGCCACACGGTATTCTCAGGGACAGGAAATGTCAGTTCCTTAAAGCCTGACTGTCTGCAGCCTCTGCTGATGGGCTGGGATCAGTTCACCGCAAGGTCCAGAAGGCCGATTCATAGTTTGTGACACCTTGTTAGTGGGACAGAGGACAACAGAATAGTCCTAAATGCCCAAGGTAATCTCTGGGCAAGTGAAATCAGAAATGCTAGGGTGTCTTTTGGGAAGAATCTCTCTCCTGTGCTCAGATAAATTTGGCAGTCAGGGCCTGAATGATAAATCAGTTGCTTTTTTTTTTTTTTATAAATCAGTTTCATCTTTGCTTTTTGGAGACATGAAGATACCTCTGTGTGTTGTAAATTTTAATAATCAGGAAGGCTGCTTATTCCAAAATTATTTGGCCAGAGAACCCACTGACAGGCTGGGGCAGTGGGGTGGAACAGGCCAGA